TATATTATACAAATAAAATAAGTAAAAAAAAATTGTGTGATTATTTATATGCAGCGTAGCAATGTTTTTTATGATTGATTATATTTAAAAATCGATTATAATAAAAACATTTTACATTAACATTGGTAAAAGGGTAGTTTATAAGAGTTGGAAATGGCAAAGTAAAATATTCTTTCATAAGTAATATAATGGAATTTTTATTTTAAATTATTGCACAATTATAACATTCCAAGATTTAAGACGTATTTTTTTTATAATTTATTTAGCACAGGGGTGATTTATAAGGGTTGAAAAGTGTTATGAGATACAAATTCTTTCATACGCAATGAGGTAATTTTTATTTTAAATAATCGCACCGTTAAAGCATTCCAAGCTTTTAAAAAGTAATTTTTTATCATATTTGTCAACAGGGGTGGTTTTTAGGGGTTGAAAGGGAAAAATTCTTTTATTAGCTATAAGGTAACTTTTATTTTAATTAATTGCACAATTTAATCATTCCAAATCTTTAAAAAGTAATTTTGTATTATTTTTTGCATAGGGGTAGTTTTTAAGGATTAAATAAAGGGTCGAAAAGATCAAATATATCATAAAACATGTTCGAGAACATGGAACATTATTTAATCTTTGCTTAAAACTTAATTTTTTCATTTTTTTTTTACTTAGGGGTAGTTTTTACGCCTAAAAATCAAAAAGCGTCAATCGCGCCCAGATCACTTTTGAACTTGAGCCTAAGATGAGCCTTATTCTAAATTTTCATGCAAATCCATGCAGTTTCAAATAATTCGGAGGTTACATAGCTGATTTTCAGCTTCAATGACTGTACTATATGTGCTATGATTCGTCCCATGAATGATAACTTGAATTTTCACTAAGCAAGGTAATATACATACGTAGATTTATTGGCCTATACTGTTTAATGTTTTTAGTTCCTGAACATTTTGACATCGGAATAGTAATTAACAATTCAAGAACGTTTGTAAATACACCACTCAAAATAGAGTAACCCTCTACATAAATTTTTTTTTTTCATTGATCTTACCGAATGATACCCCTCCACAGTGTCAGCCCCATACTCAGTAATTAACACAGGCTTATTGTGTTTCTTGTGCCATGCTTGGGCGGCATCTACTATTTCATACATGATAACGTCCAAATCTCCAGTGTTTGTGTACCAAGCATCGTACCTATTCATGCTCAATATATCCAAGTATTGACCCTAAAAAAATTTATTATTCCGACCAGTAGTATAAAGACATTATTTTATACAAAACATTGAAGCACATAATAAATACATATACTTGAGAAAGGTGCACAAGTTAGTCTAAATAATTAAATTCACTTACAGAATAATCTTCATCAGCTACGACGACATTAACTACCGTCACAGGACGCGTTTTGTCTAAGGCTTTTACTTGGGCTATAACGTTTCTAGAAATAACTAGTTTAATAAATAATTTTTCGAATAAAAATTTTTATTATTACTTGTAATAATCTGAGGCCGCCTCTTGACCAGATTTAGGTTCGTTGGCTGCCGACCACATGACCACGCTCGGTCTATTTTTATCTCTTCTGATCAATTCTGTGACAGATTTTTTGTGGTTTTCTAATAGTTCATCGCTGTAGTTGCTGCAAATTGGTCAAAATAAGTAACGAGCGTTCAAATAAAAACGTGGTCAAGTTGGTTCTGAAAATTTGGACGTAGCGCGTAGCGTATAGCAAATGAACTTAAACGTCATCTGTCAAAGCGCTATATCGCTTCTATCAATTTGAATATTTTCGTTTTAAAAAGCGTTTAAAATGGTGTTTTCTCAAGGACAAAAAGTGTTTATCATAGAGTCCTACTTTAGAAATGGACGCAAGATTGATGGAATATGGAAGTATTCTATTGAGGAATGTTTCATAGAATTTCAAAATCAAATTCCCGGCGTTGTTGAGTACAAAATTTTCCAAAGTGCAGTTCAGCGTTGTGTTAATGTTTTTCGTGAAACGGGCAGTGTAACAAGAAAAGAAGGAAGCAGCGGACCTAAAAAGCGGACTGAAGAATTAAAAGAAAATGTCCAACAAATAATGGAAAATGCGCCAAGAACTTCTGTACGTGTTTTATCACAAATGGTGGGAGTATCAGTCGGTACCTGCCACACAGTGTTAAAAAAAGATTTGCGTTTGTTCTCCTATCGTTTAACTTGTCAGCAAGAACTTCATGAAGTTGATTTTCCGCGACGGGCTGTATTTTGTGAATGGTTTTTAAACAACTACGGTGAATTTCATAATATCACCATTTTTTTCTGATGAAGCCTGGTTTCATTTAAGTGGTTACGTAAACTCACAGAATATGAGAATGTGATCTTCTGAAAAATCAGATAACTTTTTTGTCGAGGGCCCTCTACACGCTCAAAAAATTGGAGTTTGGTGTGCTCTCAATCGAAGGAGGATTTATGACCTATTTTTTTTAATGGTACTCTTACTGCGCAAAGGTATAGAGAAGAAATTATCGCTCCTTTTGTTAACCAGCTGGAAGGAAACGAAATTACAAACTTTTACTTTCAACAAGATGGCGCAAGGGCACATACGGCATGCGAGACGATGAATATGTTGAGGGAAGTTTTCCAAAATCGACTAATAAGTCTCAATGCTGAACATGAATTTCCACCGAGGTCATGTGATATTACGCCGTGTGATTTCTTTTTGTGGCCTTACCTTAAAAACACTATTTTTGAACTGCCTATTCCTGATTTAAACCATCTGCAGGCTCGACTTATAGACGAGATTCGTGAAATTAACAATACCCCGAGCATCTTAGAAAATGTCTTTAATTCTTTGAGGAACAGGTGTGAAAAGTGCTTGGAACAAGGAGGGGGACACTTTCCGCAGCTCCTTTAATTGTTTGTTATTGTTATCACGATTATTCTTTAAGTTATATAGTCATTAACGTTATTGAAACTGACAGCTGCTATACAGCTCGTTGAGAAATGAGGTTAAGTTGGTCGCTATAAGCTACTCCCTACGTCTAATGTGTCAGAACCAACTTCGACCACGTTTTTATTTGAACGCTCGTTATTTTACCCTGTTATACTTAGAAAACTTACTCTGTAGTTACAGCTGGTACCTCATCAATGATCATGATCCCTTGACTGTCCGCCAAATCCATGATCTCTTCAGCGTAAGGATAGTGGGAGGTTCTGTAGCAGTTAGCGCCGATCCACTTGATCAAGTTGTGGTCTCTCACGATAAGAGGAAGATCTAATCCCTTACCGCGAATATCTGAATCTTCATGGCGCCCAAAACCACGGATGTAGATATTTTTTCCATTTATTTTAAAACTGGTGCTGTCCCAAGAGAGTTGTCTTACTCCAAAACGTTGGTCGTACTTGTCAAATACTTTATTGGAGCTGTCCAACAGTTCTACCTGTAATTTATATCGTTATCAATATGCTTAAGGTGGCCAATGGCCATATCACTGGCCGAGAAATACTCAAATTTCTGGCGTTTTTAGGTAGTGAAATCTTGAAAAGTAAAACGTGTAGAATAAAAGTAAGCACACAAATAAAATAAATCATTGATGTTCTGCGCGTTTTGTAAAACCTGCGTTTTCTGTTATCCTCACCCCGCATTTTAAAAATTATTATTAAACCGATAGTTTTCTAATAAAAAATTAGATGCGTTATCGTTCACTAAAGGGGTAATTGCGAAAATTTGTATAAATAAAGTAGGCGGATGTCATAACAAAGAAATTGTTATTTATCATATTAATAAATTGACACTTTCTGTCAACCAATAATTAGTACCAATTGATTAATATATTATCAGAATAATTATGGCAAATAATATTTATACCAATGACGAATATGTCGACATGCTGCAGTAAGATTATACCACCAAAGATATCCAAGCCGATCGATTCCTCATAGACAAACATTGGCCTCGGTGGAAAGAAGGCTTCGCGAAACTGGTAAAAGTCAGCCCAATCATGAGGGTGCCGGAAGAAGGCGTAATGTCCCAACTGTTGAAACTGAAGAAGCTATACTGGAACATCTAGAACAAGACTGTGGTACAAGCACAAGACAGGTGTCTAGGCAACTGCAAGTTTCTCACAGCCTTGTGTGGAATGTAGCTCATGAAAATCTTTTATACCCTTTTCACAATCAACCCGTGCAAGAATTGAATGACCCTGATTTACCTAACCGCGTGGATTTTGTCAATGGTACATTAATATTTCCAGGCATGACTTTTCTAATGAATATACTTTTCACGGATGAAGCAAATTTTCCTAGAGTATGTGCAGTAAACCTTCATATGTTCATTCATTGTCGGAAAAAAATACTCATGAAATATTTGTTTTAAGATGTCGACATAATTTCAGTTTAAACGTTTGGATGGGAATTGTAGGAAATACTCTAGTAGGACCTTTTATTCTTCCACACAGGATTGGAGCTGCCGAGTATCTTAGATTTTTGAACGATAATCTTCCAACATTACTTGAAGATGTACCCCTCGCTACACGTCAGGTGATGTGGTATATGCACGACGGGGCGCCTGCACAATTAAGTGCATATAGTACACTTGCCGTTAGAGAATGGTTAAATTTAAATTACCCGAATCGCTGGATTGGTCGTAGTCGTTTGTTGGCCTGCACGTTCACCTGACCTAACGCCTATGGATTTTTTTTATGGGGACACATAAAAAGTGTTGTTTATGCCACTCCTGTTGCCTCGTTAGAAGAACTACGCTTAAGAATATTTCAGGCAGCAGATGACCTTTGCAATAACCAAAAACTGTTTGTGCGAGTGCGTGCAACACACGTATTAGGTTATTCTTGCAGCAAAATGGAAATTATTTCGAGAATATTCTTTAAATTTAATTTTGCATTTCGTGTTTTTCGTTTGTATTAAATTTTATTTCAGATAAATAACTTTACCTAATACCTGTCCCATAGTCATAAGTTAACAAACATTAGTCAAAATTCTATGCTAAATCTCGAACACCTACAACTTCAGAAATGAATATATTTTAAATTCTTCAACCACGTGTGTTTTACATCGCTATCTTCATTGCGTTTTTACTCCATCTACACGCGTGTCTGAAATGCTAAATAAAATATGTAAAAGTCGCCAAAAAACAGACAAACATACCATCTGCCGGAGTTTTTATGATCGGAAATTTATTCCATAGGCCAAAAATAGCTCGTAACCACAGCAATTTTCAATTTTGACCAAGACCTCATTTTAAAGCAGGTAATTAGTGCATGATCCCTTTGTATTTCAAAATTTTTACAATAAACTCAGTTGTTGAGGTCGTTCAAATATATTTTTGGATCATTTTATTAGACAGTAAAAAATTTAATTAATGTCCGCGAGATGTCAGTCATTCAATTTTGCGTTGCGACAAAAATTATTTATACCTACAACTTCAATACAAACGGTACAATTATTGAAGTAAAAATTGTAACGTTAGTAGCTCGTTTAAATTAATCTAAATATTCTAAATACGTCCACTGTAAAATCATCGTAGTGGGAGAGCGATAGTCTCCGCTTCCAGCTTTAACACCCGTGCACCCATCCCCACAGCGATACAGAGAACGGACTCTTATGTACCCTGTTTGAACGCTTTTCTATTTAGAGAATAAAAAAGTTACCCTAAACGTGTACTGGTATCCTGGATTGTCGTGCATCAAATAAGGCCACCACAAATTCACATTTGGGATAACCAAAGAACCATCTAATGTTTTTTCGTTTGTTGCAATGTCTTTTCCGTCTTGATCTATGACAGTTATTTTGCTGGTGTAAGTGTCCTCTCCTGCTACAGTCACTTGGAATTGAACAATACCTACGAAAGAAAATATTTCATATTAGAGTCATGGTCAATTCACTATTTTTATTACAGCTCTACCTGTGGTTCCGTTCACTGTGGTCTGAAGGGTGATGTCATCTATGTAAGTTTTTTCTGTTGCATAGAGGACTACAGGCCTATCAATGCCGGCATAGTTGAAAAAGTCGGAGTCATACGTCTGTTTTACTCTCCCGCTGGAATAAGCATAGCAGTTTAGCAATCAAAGCAATCGCTGATGATGGTGAACTTACCTGGGCAAAATTGACAGACTTCCTTGTGGAATTGTAGTATTAGTGAGTATGTTGTTGACTATGACCGTGATATTATTTTCATTTTCGAAATTTAAAAATGACGTCACGTCTCCGACGAATGGTAAGTGACCGATTTCATGAGACATGGCCAATTCACTATTTATATACTAAACATAAATAACTGGTATGAATATACGAACTAAAGTTGAAAAAATAATACTTACCACTTCAGCTGAGTAACATACGGATCCAAACCTCAACCAAATCTTCCTGTCTTCCCAGGATTTGGGTACAACGAAGTTTCTTTGATATTTAACCTCTCCCACATAATCTCTAACCTTTACATTTGTGGATATGTCGTTGTAGCTTGCAGGTACAGGCATAAACTCTATATCTTCATCGTTGTCCTAGAAAAGTCGATGAAAAACAATTCTATTGTTAATTTGTTTTGTTACTTACAGCCAATGTGAAGCCTTTCGTATCAGAGTTAACCAGAGAAAACTTCCAAAGGCCATCCAAGGAAAGTACTTCTCGAACTGAGTTAGCTTTTGGATACAATATTCCAGATTCACATTCTAATAGCAAAATTGCAAGGAAGAACAGCACCACCACCTTGTTCATGTTTCTTGCCTTCAGATTCTAGTTTAGTATTAGTAAAACTAACGAATTCGGTATTTATGAGAAATTCAAAATAATCATGATTGGAGTGTTTTTTTTTTCTACTTAAGTGGTATATTGATTACCAGATATGATAAATATTTGCCCTACATGTCACTGTCAGTTTATCACTATTTTCTCTGTGTCATGTCTATTACAATTAGCAATTAGTCAGTTTATTAGAAGGTGATTCACTTAACCGAATATAATTTATCATTATTGCTAACACATTTTATTATTTTCTTAAGTATTTATTTCTATAATTAGTATCATTTAACTTAAAAATAAAATCTATGGCTTTTACTCTTTAAAACAAAATTACTATTTAAGCATACGAATTTATTAAAAAAAAAAAACAGTTTATAATGTTAATAATAAAATCCAAATCATCAGGTTCAGTTGCGTTATCTAAAAGTGCAGCAACAGCCTAATATCTCCTTCTCAAAACAAATGACAAAATATTCAAATGTATACTTTGTGAAGTTTTGAAATCACAGAAATTCCAAATCATTTCTCTAACAAACCATCCCTTTTCTCTCAATTCCTCAAATGCTTGGAAATGTCGAGACATCAGGCCCGTTTCAAATTTTTCCGACCAAATGTACGGGCAGCTGTCAAATATAGAGTATAGTGTTTAGGAAATGAAAGGTGATAGACTGCATAAACATGAAAACTGCCATTAAGTCTTGTTTTCGAGAACGTTATTTAAAAAGATAAAATTAGGACGACCCAGTTGTTTAGCAAGAAAATAATTCCTACATAACCGCCAAGAACAAAATGTGATTTAAAAATTTTCTTCGCTTCTTTAAACCATGCATTGGTTAATGAACATTGTTCATTTATGTGATTTTTTTAAGGATCCCGCTACAGTCTGGGGGGGTTTTCCACTGTATTTCAAGTAGAAATTTACTAGAGAATGTGCGTAGGGGTTATAATCATAAATTTCTCTGTCAGTCAAGCAACAATTAAGGTTTTAGAAGACACACACAGGTTAAGTTCAAAACTATTTTCTGAACTTCAATTCGATAAATTTTTTTTGACCACCCTATATAGAAACTGGAAAATTTTCATGTCAAGTTCAATAAATTAGGTCTTCCTCTACAAAATGTCCAATTTGCACAAAAAAATAAACCTATGTTTCCGGGAAAACTAAATTTTGCTGACAGTCTGCATCTGTCAATTTTTGCTTAAAAATCAAAATATCTCGGAAACGGTCAATCCTAAGTATGGAGTGTGCTATATTTATCAACTTAAAAATAGATGCTCTTTCCAAAAATGCAATACTATACAGGGGGTTCCATTTGAAATAAGAAAGTTAGTGTCGACTTCCAGTATAACCGGAAGTACGATGACCTTGAAAATATTTTAGCTTGGTAGGCCCCACGGTCCGTATAACACCATCATAATTTCAAAAAAATCCTTCGAGCGGTTTCCCAGATATCCGTCGATGGAGTTCGTGGTGGGACGCTCAGTACAATCAGTTATTGTTTTGATTGTATGAACATTATATTAATTTATTTTTGAAACATTTGGGCTCGACAATATTTCTTTGGTAATACACTATTCCGACATGATCTTTAACTTTTGGGTTAGTGGATATATCGTTGTAGCTAGCAGGTACAGGCATCAGTTCGAGATCTTCGTCATCGTCTTAGAAAAAGTGATGGAAGACTGTTCCATCTTATCCTTTCTTGTGCTAGAGTGAAACCTTTATGGTCTGCTTGAAATGCGCCCAAAGAAAATTTCCATAAGCCGTCAAGGGAAAGTACTTCTCTGACTGAGTTGCTTCTTGGATACAATATTCCTGATTGACCTAGTCCTTGCAAAATTGCAAGGATCCACAGCACTTCATACTCTTCAGTTTCTACTTCAGTGTCAACAATGTGTCGATGAAACTATTTAAATACAATCTAATCTTCTCTTGAGTGTTTTGGATATGCTTAAGTGATGGATTTGATAATGATAGCATGCGAATTAAGTCATTGTTTCAATGACTAATACCTGCTTATCTGATTTGTTACAAAAGATTATACAGGGTGTCCCGTAAGCATATGATCAAAAAGATACTGCGATATTCTTTGACTCAAAAGAGGACGATCTGACTTCCATTAAGAAAAAATGTCTGGCTCCTCCGCTATTGATTGTCAAAGTTCTTGAAAAAAAGTATGTTTTTTGTAATATCTGGAGAATGTTGCTATGGATTTTAATGAAACTTGCTGTGGACTTATTCCTAAGTAACACTCATGTTTTGAAGCTAAAAATATTTTCTTTACATGGCCCATATGATTCCAGGCAACTTTTATTAAAATCATCCCTCTTAGGTGGAGCACCCTATATGTATTAATGTAAGGCAAATGTTCTTAAAATACTAATTTTAACTCGAGTGTTTACATACATTTGATATGTTGTTTGTAAATGAAGGTTTACATACGATACCATTCGAATTAATTAAACTAATTCCTGAGTACCTGATTTATTATGAAAGATTTACAAATTAGATGTAAGTATCAGTAAATTCTTTTTTTTTTGTCCAGAAATTATTGAATTTTGTTACAAAAGTTTGGACAGTTTGGAATAGCATTTTATAGATCTCATTATTCTTGTATGGAAAAAGAAAACAATACGTCTAACTTCTAACAAACGTTTATTAGAAATTAGTTACCAAAACTAAAATTGTAAAGCAATTATTTTTTTAAATTTTATAGTTCATCCTTAATTTGTGAGGATTTGTCGATAACAAAATTGTCCAAATCCCCAGGTAAGGTTGCATTGTCCAGTTCATGGGCCAAGTGCCAAAATCTCTTTCTCATCAAATGTGCTGACGATTTTGGTTGCCTCTGTCTAGTGAAAAGTCCTTTTTTATTGCCCCCTACTCTTCTAACAGCTAGGAAAAAATTAGTTTGTTAGTGTAGTAACTGTGATCTTTTCTTTATTAATTATTATGATCAGTTAATACTGAACTCAATCACTTTATCTTTAATTCTTCAATCCATTTGAGAAAAGTGTAACACTTAAATATACCAATAAATGTTTTACCTTGATCTGTTCTAAAATCGGAGAAAACCCAAATCATTTCGCCTATAAACCAACCCTCCTCACGCAGCTGATCAAAAGCTTTGAAGTGATTAGATAACAGTTCATTTTGAAATTCCTCGGACCATATAAACGCTGGCAACTGTGAAAACGCATGAAATTTCATTCTGGTGACATTTTTTATTCAAATCTCAGTCATTTTACTCACCGAGTGATACCCTTCCAATGTGTCAGCTCCGTATTCAGTAACCAATACAGGCTTGTTGTGTTTGTTGTGCCAAGCTTTAGCTGCAGCAACAAAATCCGGTACAATAACGTCTAAATCACCCTCGTAACTGTACCAGGCATCGTACCTGTTCATACTTAAAATATCCAAATACTGACCCTAAATAATACTCTAATTATTAGGTTTCGAAAACTCAATTTTTCCTTCAAATTTACTTACAGAATGGTCTGCACCAGCCTCGACAAGATTCACTACTGTCACAGGACGTGTTCTATCGAAGGCTTTTACATGGGTTATAACATGACTGCAAATAACTAATTTAATACAAATGTTTTCAAATGAAATTTTCGACATTACTTGTAGTAAGCTGATGCCGACTCCTGGGCAGTTCTAGGTTCATTGGCTGCCGACCACATTATGACGCTTGGTCTGTTCTTATCTCTCTTGATCATTTCTGTGATAGACCTCTTGTGGTTTTCTAAAAGTTCGTCACTGAAGTTGCTGCAAATTAACAAAAAATGGTATTGGATTTTCATGTACCTATAAAACTTACTCTGTATTTACCGCTGGTACCTCATCAATGATCATGATCCCTTGACTGTCCGCCAAATCCATGATCTCTTCGGCGTAAGGATAATGGGAGGTCCTGTAGCAGTTAGCGCCGATCCACTTGATCAAGTTGTGGTCTCTCACGATAAGAGGAAGATCTAAACCTTTACCGCGAATGTCTGAGTCTTCGTGACGTCCGAAACCGCGGATGTAGATGTTTTTTCCATTTATTTTAAAACTGGTGCTGTCCCAAGAGAGTTGTCTTACTCCAAAACGTTGGTCGTACTTGTCGATTACTTTATTGGAGCTGTCCAAAAGTTCTACCTGCAATTTATATCGTTATCAATATTATTAAGAGAGAGATGAAAAAAATTTTTTGCGCTCGGCCCATACACTTACTTGCAAAACGAATAAACATGTTCGAAATACAAAACTTTTTCCTAAGGCTACTATGTAATAGTTTTTCAAAATTAATTTAAAATATAAAGAGTAAACTGTGCAAGAAATCGCCATATTTGCAATTTATTTACTTGAAAATAAAGGCTTAAATAAAAAATTGTGTACATGAGAGAAGTGGATCTATCTTTTAACTTTTCAGTGATACCAATATTATATCGATTTGATAAAAATTACTCAAAATAGGGTCGTTTCACATTTTTTTTTTATTTATTTCAATTCGGCATGTTTCAAAATTAATATAGCTTTTTTCAGAATTTTGTTTTTACTAATATTAACTGAATATACAACTTTACAAATATGAACATTTTTCGTCTATAAGGCGTTGTGACGTCAACTATGTCGCATGCGCATTACGCTTGAAATTTAAGTTGGTATATCAAGTTGGCTATTCTGACATTGCTGGAACAGTCACATTTTCTGTCATTTAACGTTTACTATTTGTTGTGCTAGTGACCGGTTGTGTTTTTGTGTGTTAATTTTGCTTATTATAATTTTAATTAACATGGACAATATGAAAAATTACAATATACTTATCAGTTATCACTGCCACACTCACTATACAGGGTGGTCCGAATTTTATGCAGGAAACTTCAAGGGCAGATAGATCTCTTCAAAATAATATGTGTTTGCCTTAAAAACTTTGGTCTGGAACAGCCCGGTTTTAGAGATAGAGGGCGTTGAAGTTGTTAAAAAAATTTGATTCTTTGTTTATATCTCCGGAATCTCTTAACCGATCTCAATAAAATTTGGTACAGATAATCTATGATAGCAGCCTTGCATTCCCTAAAATATGAGCTCTAAAGGTACAACCAGTGGTGTACCACTGGGCAAGGATCATTTCCTTATTTATAAAAAAACCTACGCTACTGCATTTTTTACAGTTATTGTAACGGATTTATATTCTAATGTACAAAATATTTAAAAAATTTAACGTGAATTTTTTCCCTAAAATTCGCCGTTTTCAACTTATTCATATCAATACAATCCCTTTGTGCAGACATTTCTAACCATAATATTAAAATTATATTTATGTTTATGCTTAAAAGTGGAATTTGTAAGCACATAAACAAAAAAGGCGAGGGGTAGTGAATTGTGAATTTTCACAATCTGCATATTGGGTCACAAAAAAATCCTCATGAAATTCGGACAAGATCTTCTCAACACAAATTTTCTGTAAACGTGTGGCTCGGAATAATTCGCAATAAAGTTTGTGGACCTTTCTTCTTGCCAGCCGTCTTAATTCCCAGTCATTTCTAAACTTTCTATAAAACCATCTATTTGAATTATTAGAGGATGTTCCATTAAATATACGATAAAATAGCTAGATACAATGGATGGTGCTCCTGCGCATTCTGGGAGAATATAAAACTGACTTAATGAAAATTATATGGGGCGATGGATAGGTAGAAGACCAAATGCCAATGTCAACCATAATAGTGCAGAGGGTCCAGTGTCTTGGCCTGCCAGACTGCCATTTCTAAATCGCCTGGACTTCTATGTTTGGGGTTATTTGAAAAGTAAAGTTTATTCTACAAATACAAGACCACAACTACTGCAACGAATAGAAGGCGGGTGTAATGAATTAAAAAAAAAAACACCACATGATATTAGCTTCAATTAATTTCATTAATAGAAAATGTCAGAAATGTATCGATGTGGGTAGTTCGCATTATGACCAATTGTTGTGAATACGTAACGTTACTTTTGTTTCTTGTTTAGTTGCTGTTGCTTGCTATTTTGATTTAAATTGTTCTTATTTGGAAAGAGTATTAGGCCTCCAGGGAAAACTAAAAACGCCAGGAACACTACCTCACAGGTGGTGAAGAAAGGACTGTAACTAATTTTATTGATGTGCTTACAAATTGCACTTACTTTTAAGCATAAACATAAATATTATGGTTAGAAGAGTCTGCCACAAGGGGATTGTATTGTTATGAATAACTTGAGAACAGAGAATCTTAGGGAAAAAATTCAAGTTAGTTTTTACGTATTTTGTGGATTAGAATATAAATTAGTTACAATGACATGGAAAAAATGCAGTGACGTAGTTTTTTGTAAAAACAGGGGTGACCCCTGTTCAGTTGTACACCACTGGTTGAACCTTTAAAGCTCATATTTTAGGGAATGTAAAGCCTACTGTCATACATTATCTGTACTAAATTTTATTGAGATCGGTTAACAGATTCCGGAGATATAAACAAAAAATCAAATTTTTTTAACAACTTCAACACCCTCTATCTCTAAAACGGGGCTGTTCCAGACCAATGTTTATAAGGCGAACACATATTATTTTGAAGAGATGGTATAGTGTTCTCTGATATTAACCTCAAATTATCAAAACTGTTATGAATCATGATATCAGATCGTTTTCTGTGTATTTTGTTTGTCTCGCTTACGCATGTATACGAGTTGACGTCACAGCGAGAGAGACAAAATTTTAGAAAGGACAGAAAATGTTTAAATTTTATTTTGATATTATTCCTTTGTGATCCATTTTTTCTGAAAGTAAGTTAATGAAAGCTTTACTACTGAAAAATAATTGCAAATTAAATTTTTGGAATCTAAGATAACGACCTGTTATTGATGTAAAAATTGTAACGTTAGTAGTTCGCTTAGATCAATTCAAATATTCTAAATACGTCCACCGTAAAATCATCGTAGTGCCTCCAGCTGTAACGCCCGTGCACCAGACCTCGCAGCGATACCCTAGGAGTGTACAGAGCACATACTCTTAAGTACCCTGTTTGGACCCTTTTTTATTTAGAGAATGTAAGTAAGTTACCCGAAACGTGTACTGGTACCCTGGATTGTCGTGCATCAAATAAGGCCACCACAAATTCACATTTGGGATAACCAAAGAACCATCTAATGTTTTTTCGTTTGTTGCAATGTCTTTTCCGTCTTGATCTATGACAGTTATTTTGCTGGTGTAAGTGTCCTCTCCTGTTACAGTCACTTGGAATTGAACAATACCTACGAAATAAAATATTTCATATTAGAGTCATGGTCAATTCACTATTTTTATTACAGCTCTACCTGTGGTTCCGTTCACTGTGGTATGAAGGGTGATGTCATCTATGTAAGTTTGTGCTGTCGTATAGAGGACTACAGGCCTATCAATGCCGGCATAGTTAAAAAAGTCGAAGGTATATCTCTGTCTTACTCTCCCACTGGAATAAGCATAGCAGTTTAGCAATCAAAGCAATCGCTGATGATGGTGAACTTACCCGGGCAAAGTTGATAGACTTCCTTGTGGAATTGTGGTAGTAGTGAGTATGTTGTTGACTATGACCGTGATATTATTTTCATTTTCGAAATTTAAATATGACGTCACGTCTCCGACGAATGGCAAGTGACCGATTTCATGGGACAGGGCCAACTCACTATTTATATACTAAACAAAAATAGCTGGTATGAATATAAGAACTAAAGTCGAAAAAATAATACTTACCACTTTAGCTGAGTAACATACGGATCCAAACCTCAACCAAATTTTCCTGTCTTCCCAGGATTTGGGTACAGCAAAGTTTCTTTGATATTTAACCTCTCCCACATAATCTCTAACCTTTAAATTTGTGGATATGTCGTTGTAGCTTGCAGGTACAGGCATAAACTCTATATCTTCATCGTTATCCTAGAAAAGGCGATGAGAAACAATTCTATTGGTAATTTGTTTTGTTACTTACAGCCAATGTGAAGCTTTTCGTATCAGAGTTAACCAGAGAAAACTTCCAAAGGCCATCCAAGGAAAGTACTTCCCGAACTGAGTTAGCTTTTGGATACAGTATTCCAGATTCAGATTCTAATAGCAAAATTGCAAGGAAGAACAGTACCTTGTTCATGTTTATTGCCTTCGGATTCTAGTTCAGTATTAATAAAAGGTGCCGACAAGTTCGGCATTTATAAAAAATTCCGTGAAGTGTTTTTTTTTACTGAAGTGCTATATTGAGTACCAGACATGATAAATATTTGAACGAAATGATGTTAATGTCAGTTTATCACTATTTTCTTTAAGTCATACCTATTGCAATTAGCATTAGTCAGTTTATTAGAAAGTGATCCACTTAACCGAATATAATTTATCATTAATGATTAGATGATTGTATCATGTGAGAATTTATTATTTTCTTAAGTATTTATTTCATAAAAAATAAAATAATTAGTATCATCTAACAAAAAAAAATTATATAGCTGTTACTCTTTAAAACAAAATGACCATTTAAGCATATGAATTTATTAAAAAAACAAAAACAGTTTGTAATGTTATAATAAAATTTTAATCGTTTCCATATTTCGAATTTTATATGATGTACTCGTCTAAATCATCAGGTTGAGTTGCGTTGTCCAATAGTCCAGCGAGAGCCCAATATCTTCTTCTCAATAGATGAGCGCTAGCCTTTGGTTGCCGTTGTCTGGTGAAAATTCCTTTCTTGTTTCCGCCCACTCGTGTATAAGCTGAAAAATAGTAAATTGTAATCGGTAGTCGAAATATTCAAATGTAGATATACTTTGGGCAGTTTTGAAATCAGCGAAATTCCAAATCATTTCTCCAACAAACCATCCCTTTTCTCTCAGTTCATCGAATGCTTGAAAATATCGAGACATCAGGTCCGTTTGGTATTCTTCCGACCAAATGTACGTGGGTAGCTGCCAAATATATATATTAGAAGATTCGTTTCTTGGGTACAAGGTTCCAGTGTGAAAATCATTAAAATTAAAAACAATAAAATAAGACAAATAGCAATTTATTTACTTAACGTTTTTGCTCTCGATTTTTAATTTATAATTTAAATTTTACAGCCAATTAACCAAAGAACCCGAAATAACCATTTCATATAAAATAAAAAATTTATTTTTTCATTTTACATTTAATATTTATTGACATCTTGAATTTATGCGAGAATAATATACATATTAATTTTGATGACACGCTAGCACGTGTGAATATACTGATGTGGGAATGAGTACGAGTTCTGGCGTGTTATCAAAATTAATATTATTCTCGTACAAACCAAACAAGTTAAAGATTACAACAAATATTAAATGTAAAGTGAAAAAATACATTTTACTTCTAAGATTTTTAAATAATTAGGGTTTTTGCGTTATATGAAATGGTTGTTTTGAGTTATTTAGTTAATTGACTATAAAATAAATTGTAAATTGAAAGTCTTTTGAAAAAGCTCTCGATCGGGAGCAAAACGTCGGGTAAAAAAATTGCTGTGTCTTCTTTCATTGTTTTTTAATATTAATGATTATCACACTGGAATCTTGTACCCAAGAAAAGACCATATACGGAGTGTCCCAGACCACCGGTCCGCCTCTTTTAAAATCCAAAGTACATAGTACTAGTATATTGGTCTTATGTGAAAAATGAAAGTTACTGATCTCCAAGAGGCACATATTGTCGTGACCTTGAAGGTCATTTTCAAGGTTATTTCAAGGTCAACTTAATTTGTCTGTAAGGTAACCCTTATTTTCAACCCCGGATTCGAAAAGAGCGGAAAATTCTATGTTCAGATGATGTATCTCGTATGGGGTCCATTTGACCCCCCCAAGGTCATGTGAACGTCAATTTTTTTTACTGAATCTATCCACCCAAATGACCCCGCAAAGTTAAAGTTTAGCGAAAAATGTGTCGGATAAACGTTGCAAAATTTTGAAGTGACATGTTTGACTTTGACGTTGGAAATTTTCAAGGTTATTTCATGGTCAATTTCGATTTTTTACGTAGGAAACCTCATTCTTAATTCTGGATTCGGAAAGGTAAATAAATGACTTTCAACGACAAGATCTCGAAAAAATGTGCCCCTTGGAGACCAGTAACTTTAATCTGAACCATTTTTTATATAACCATGTGAACTTTTGATTTTAGATGGGGGTGGACGGGTGGTCTGGAACACCCCGTATATACAGCTGTTTAGCAAAAAAATTTCTACGTAACCATCAAGAACAAAATTTTATAGTGCTTTTTTTAAACAACTTTCTTCGTGTCTCTATGGATTGATTGAGGAAAATGTGTTGCCTGTAACTTTTTTAAGGCCCTTCTGAAACACCGTATACATTAAGTAAAGATGTTAAGACTTACAAAGTGCAATCCTTCTAAAGTATCAGCGCCGTATTCCGTCACAATCACAGTCTTGTTGTGTATTCGATGCCATGCTTCTGCGTACCCTTTCAAGTCTGAAACTATGACGTCCAAGTCCCCTGGGTTGTCGTACCACCCGAGGTACTTATTGAAACACAAAATATCCAGGAATTGTCCCTGAAAATAGATCCAGTCGTAGAATAATTCCTAGTTTTTCATTTGTAAATATTTTGCCACATTGTAAATAAAAAAAATCAAAAACAGTAAATAAAACCCTGCGCCATAAGGATAAGTCACGGGCTGCTTTTAACTAGTCATATTGTGAGAAACAACTACTCTGCGGACTACAGCCTCGTCCAGTATTCGAACTTGTCGCTTCTCATCAATATGACGTATGTGAGACGACCGACGAACTGTTTGGGTGTCTTATATATCGACATGTGTTAAGTGTGAGTGAGATATAACTTGAAAAGCATGTAATATCTAAATTGTCACTACTTGATAACTTTTATGAGAACATGAGAATGATCTTAGCTGTTTACTAGATATTCTCGGTGGACGGGGTTATAATCCGTATCATTAGTTAAAAACCTCAATTCACCTACTACGACACTATTCATGCTTTCATAGTACCTACAGATTAGTAAGTCACTCTCTGCCAGTAGTAATGCTACAAAGTAATGGTTTGTGCCAATTGGCATCAGCGACATCTAAAATATGACATACTTTTGTATAGGTTATATCTCACCTAGATTCAAAACTGATTCCCACCGATAATTTTGAAATATCACAATGGGAAGTAGATAAATAATCACAAATCACCGTAAAAACACTTTTCATAGTGTATGTTCTTGTGTTCTTGGCGTTTCAATTTTCTTTGTTAATTTTAAAAGTAATTTATTTTTTACATAAAATATCACATGTCAAATATTGTCCTGGATTCTCAACAGTGATAAAAATTTAAAAAAAAATTAGACACACATTTCATTTAATAGAATAAAATCCTATGAGTTCCATTTAATAATGACTCTTCTCAAATGTGCTCATAAATCTTTTATTTTTCGAATTTTCTTTCGTAGTATATTTTTGCTGTTAATCAACTATAACATTTAAAGATCTCGAAGTTTCACTGCCATAATTTTTCATTCATATGGAACATGGTATACAATTTTTTGAATATTTGAACATTATTTCTTGGTCGTATTTTAGATAAAATAGATTTTTGGTTTGAAAAACAGTTCTAATTTGTGTAGAATTGTTTTATTGTATTTGTGAAATATAAAAACTGGTGGAAAATTATATACACAATAAAGGATAATCTCATACGATTGTGACGCAAGTGCACTTAAACAAAAAAATGTTTCAAGTATTTCAAAGTTCCCATCCCAAATTAGGTAATCCCCTCAGAAACATTGGAGAAACATTCTGAAAATATAACACCAATTAAGTGAACTTATTTATGGTGCTTTAGGGCCTTATTCAGAAATAAACCCTACTAAAGACGTTCCTAAGGCATTAGTGTTTCCATCTAAAACTTGCAAGTCTCCTCTGAAAGAGCGTTATTCAGAAAGGAAGAGCTAAACAAAAGATGCTTCTAAGGTAGATATTAGAGTTTCCATCTCAAACTCTGAAGTCTCCTCAGAAGAAAGACCGAAGCCTTAACCAGGAATAAAGAGTCTAACATAAAATACTCATAAGATATCAAAGCCTTTAGAAATTTATCCAGAAAGAGAAAGCCCAAGTAACATACTACTGAATGCTACTGAAATATCAGAATTTCCCTCAAACATTAAGAAGTCTCTTGAAAGAAAATCATTAGAACCGTATCCAGAAAGAACCATCCCTACAAAAGAAGGTGCAAGGACATTAGAATGTTCATCCTAAATTAGAAAAAGTCCAGAAAGGGAACATTATCCAGACAAAAAATATATTGAATGAAGAAGCTCCAACAAATTGCAAATTTCCTTCACAGATAAGAAATTCGCCTCCTGCAAATGGATTCATATCCAGAAAAAGTAAGTTCTATAAAAGATGGTCCCAAAGTCTCACAATTCCTGTCACATATTAGAAAATCTCCAGAAACCAGGAACTTTATTATGAAAAAGTTAACCCAATAATTTGCGAATTTCTTTTCCAAGTAAGATATCCTTTGGAGCCATATCCAGAAAAAGTAAATCCTACAAAGGAAAGACCCAATGTCTCAGAATTTCCATCACAGGATAGCAAATCCCCAAAGAAGGAATAAGTTTGTTGAAAAACAACCCTTATCTAATATAATTTACAGTGTAGCAAAATACCCAAAAGAAAAGAAAGTGGATTTAAGAAATGTCATAAGTAAAATACATTAAAAATTGTTCTTACCGAATGGTCTTCTGGAGCATTGTAACTGTTTACTACTGTTGCTGGCCTGGATGTGTCCAGTGACTTTATGTGTGCTATAACTTCCCTAAAAATAAAGTATTTTACAACACAATTAGCGCTTTGTTATGTATTTTCTTTATAAATACTTGTAATAAGGCCCGGATTCATTGTACTGGGTACTGGGTTCGTTTGAAGCTGACCATATTATCACGCTGGGTCTATTTTTATCCCTGTTGATCAGTTCGGTTAAAGATTTTTTGTGGTTTTCCAACAAGTCCTTATTGTATCTTCTAGAAACATTAAACAGCAGGCAAAATACCCAAGAAAAATATCGTTTCAATTGTTTTTATTTGTCCTACTCACTGTGTATTAACCGCAGGACACTCGTCGATGATCATGATACCCAAACTATCAGCCAGATCCATGATTTCTTCTGCGTAAGGATAGTGAGAAGTCCTGTATGAATTGGCGCCTACCCACTTGATCAGATTGTGGTCTCTTATGATCAGAGGCAAGTCCAAACCCTTACCACGAATGTCGGAGTCTTCGTGACGGCCAAAACCGCGTAGGTATAGCGGTTTTCCGTTGATTTTGAAAGTGGTGTTGTCCCACGTTAATTCCCTGATCCCGAAAGGTTGGTCATAACGGTCGAGTAGTTTGTCGCCAATATTAAACACTTCAACCTAAAACATCACCACTTGTTTCTATTGCAATAATGTCTATTTAGCTTATTCTGTTCACGAGAATTAGATTACAAAATTAAAGAGGGGGTAGTATATTTTAATTATAATTATTATAGATGAAAAACTTTCTCCAATCACATTCATCAAAGGAATTATTATTAGAAATTGTAGACTTGAATATTGTAGCATTATACGGTATTTATTTAATGAAATCAGTTTAAAAGGCAATTTATGAAAGTTACTTATGTTCACTCAATGTGTTACATGTTTCCTTACACAGGGTAAGTTGGGGAAACTCCAGGAAATGTTCAAAATCACCGCCATTGCCCCCTAAACACTTTCGAAGGACGTCTGTAACTCTCCTAATTGCTGCATGTCTTTCTTTAATAAGTGCTGCTGTATTGATGATACGTGAAATTAGTGCTTCTCGAGTGTTCACTCTAACTTTGTACACTGTACTGTACACAGTAATCTAGTGCTGTGAGGTCTGGAAATCTTGGAGGCCAATTAGTAGGACCGCCGCGGCCAATCCAACGCCCTGAAAAGCTCTCGTTCAAAATGTAGCTTGACTGGACTAGTGAAATGTGCAGGAGCTCCATCGTCCTGCTAGTACCTTTATATTTTCATGTTTATAGGAACGTCCTCTAGTAGTACTTACATATGATTCATTTTGTAAGTAGCGGTCTCCTGTGAGTCGATTCTCCAAAATGAAAGGGCCAATTAAATAACTATCGATCATACCATACCACACGTTTGAGTGTTGCGTGAGGATTTTCGTCTGACTATGTAGTAGTAGTAGTAGTAGCAAAAGGGGCTGCCTCAGCCTGGCAATTAGGCCACAAGTGGGCCCTTTTTGCCTACCCCGCCGTCCCATCACCTAACCACTCTCTGCCTCTGACCCTCCTCGAACCTACCCGACGCCCTAATGAACGCCAGGATTTTGGTCCATGGAAGGTCTCTCACCTCAACCTCTTGCAGCTCTCCAGCACCAAATACTTTATGTCTTATTCTCCCAAAGGCTTCGTCTGACTATAATGAGAGTTCCGATTATTAGTTATAACATCACCGGTGAAGTTGCTTTATCCGTAAAATGTATGCGGGATACAAGATGATTATCCATCGACAAAACTCGATACACTTAGCATAATATTCCGGTTGTAGGTGTTGTACTCTCTGTACATGGTACGACATAAGCCTTGCTCGTGGCAAAAAATACCTGGCCATGTCTAGATCAAATCTTCGCCTAGTGACAGGTATTCAAACTAGACACTGCTGGCTAAGGAAGCACCTTCACAACATGAGGAAATGTGAAACACCTCTTTGTAGGGGTTGTGAACAGGTAGACGAGACTGTACCACATGTGCTATGTGAATGCACTGCCGTCTCGTCAATAAGAGAATTCATGTTGGGAGAACGTTGGCCTTCTATGGTCTATAACGTCTATATTAGAGAGATCCCCCTGAGCAACGTCATCACCTTTTTCTCTGTAATAGGTTGGTTAGCACCTCGGGTGGATTGATCTCCTAACGGGAGGAAATACAAGGGGCCCAATGGGGCCTAAGTGCTGTAGCTACACTCCCTAAATTCCAGATTCCAGAAGCCTTACTCGTTCAGATGTTTCACAAGCACTGGGAAGCTTTCCAGTTTCGCACAGTTTATTGAAAACTTTGATAAATACATTTTTATCAGGACATCTGTGGTGTGGAAACCGTCGACGATATTCTTCAATAGCAGCATTAACATTCCCATTACAAAAAACCATAAGCAAACGCCATATTTGCATACTCTAAATTTGATTAAGATCTTGGCAGTTTGTAGCACTTTCATCATATTAACGTGTAAAAAATTGCAACATAAAATCCTACTGATATCCTACTCTTGCAATTTCTAAAATTGTAATTACGCTAAATTTGAAAAACAAATGAAAATCGCATAACAATATTTCAGTTTTTTCTTATTATTCTGACGTTTAGACTTTGGTGGTGAGATTCTCCCGACTCACCCTGTATAACTAACTCATGTTAGGGGAATATTTCTGTTGGATAACATTAAATTCATGTAATTATACTGTTTTATTACCCTTAGTGTGTACAGGTATCCCGGTTCAGCATCCATAAGATAGGGCCACCATAATTTAGCGTTTTCGATTTTTATGGTTCCAGTTAAAGTTTGCGCATCATTCGAAGCTATATATTTCCCTCCTTTATCGATTGCAGTAACTACTATGTCAGAAATATCATTTCCTTCCACCAATATGTCGTAGGTTACGATGGCTACAAAAATCGATGCAGTTAGAAGATGGGCTAATGTTCATCTAAAAGTAAAGAGTGAATTTTTGAAAATTTTACCTGTTGTTCCACTAAGTTGTGTTGTGATTGTAATATCATCGACGTATGTGTCTTCCGTCGTGTATAACACCACAGGTCTGTCAATTCCAGCGTAGTTAAAAAAGTCAAAAGTGTATTCTTGTTTTATTCTCCCACTGTAAAAAGTTGTGTGAATTATGACCATATACAGGGCGTTAATGATAATTTTTGCCAAACTTTAATGGCGTATTCTACCGATGAACATAAGCCACGTTTGCCCTATAAAAATTTTTGATAGGACGCTTCCCCACGGAGATACAGGGTGTTAAAAGTTTCAAATATTTATATTATTTTTCCTGTACCTTCACCGACATAAAAGATTGAGTGATAAAATTTAGCGGATGACATTTTTTTAGTAGGGTCTATTTTTTCATGGATAACTTATTCCAAAATACACTCCAGTGGCGTAGTTATTGGGGGAGTAGAAGACCTTTTTTGAAAAAAAAATCGTACGCCACTAGTTTTTTCAATAATTTTAAATGTTTTTAAAATATACAATCAATTTGTGGCAATAAAGTATTCTTGTAAAGTATTCGTAAAATTTACTAGTCTTTAGATAATTGGGAAAACAAATAAGAAGATACTTAAGTACCTACGTTGCTATTTATCATTTTCTAATGATTGCTAAATGTGTAACACAAATTCAATACCTAATGAGAGATTTCCAAACGCGCATATTTGTCGCTACTAAAACGTCGACCAAGAGAAAGGCCTGTTCGTACAGTTCATTTGGAAGACAGAATTTGGGAATCTGTAGATGAAGACCCATCTACCAGTGCCAGACAGATATCATCAGATTTGGGTGTACCATATGTTAAATGAAAATGACTGTCTACCGAGGATTGAATTATATCACTGTTTTTTACAACAATGCGAACAACCTGATTTTCAGTTATTAATATTATTTACCGAAGAAGCGAAAATCACAAGAGAATTGTCATAATAACCACCAAAGGGCGGATGAAAATCCGCATGTTATTTCACAACGTCGATTCCAAGAACAATTTTCTCCGAACGTTTGGCAGGCATTGTGGGCGATTACTTGATTGGTCTCTACTTTTTACCCAGAACCCTCGATGGTAGAACTTATCAAAGGTTCCTACAAGAAGAATTACCACCAAGTGCCATTGAGGTTACGTCAATTATTGTGGTATATGCATGATGGGACGCCACCTCATTACAGCCTACAATAAATCAGTATCCTAATTACTGGATTGGTAGAGGAGGGCCCATTGCTTGGCCGGCTCGTTCACCCGACCTGAATCTCTTGGATCACTTTTGTTAGGGCTACCTCAAAACTATGGTATGTCGTACTACACTTCCCAATGTAGAAGTACTTCGACAGCGCATTGTGGTGGGTTTCGCAACCATACACATTCGGCTGGAATTATGAGGCGTGTAAGACGATCAATGCGGAAACGCTGCGCAGCATGCATTGCGTCCCAAGGACAGCATTTTGAACACTCCTTGTGTTTTGAAATCTCTCAAAAATATTAGGTATTGAATTTATTAAAAAACCAGTTGCGTACGATTTTTTTCCAAGAAAAGTCCCCTACTCCCCCAATAACTACGCCACTGGAGTGTATTTTGGAATAAGTTATCCATGAAAAAATAGTCCTTACTAAAAAAGTGTCATCCCCAAATTGTATCACTCATGAAACTTTTAACACCCCGTATCCATATGTAACCTTGATTAATTTCATCGGTAGAATACGCCATTAAAGTTTGACAAAACTTATCATTATTGCCCTGTATCATTATTGCCCTCCAGTCGAATTAAATTATAAAACCTGAAAACTTGAAATAATTATTAGTAGACATATTATTGACTTGAACGTGTCAAATTCTGTTAAAAAAGTCTCACTCGCGACCGAGCGCAGCATCCACGCGCGTGCGCGGGCCTGGCGCTCCTTCCATGTGCAGGCCGTTCATTAACCTTAACTTTTACTGCTGCTAACGCGTTCATTACAGGAACTATCAATGTAAAACTTTCTGAAAATAAAAGTTTAACCCTTTCTTTAATTGTCTCTAAAATCCCGGTATGATACATACGACAATTAACTTTATAAAAAAAAAGTTTTTGGGAACAAAGAGGCGCAGGTGATTTCTACTTTTTTTTAATTTTCCGTGAAAATAAGCTCTATTAAATGCAAACAGAGCGAATTCTCGAGCGGATTTTGCCTGACCTTGGGACAATTTGTTTATAACGCTGTTTTGCACATCCTACTTTGTTAATTGTAAAGGGTTACTTAATTTAAAATTTTTTAAATTTTTCTTTTTCGATAGGTTTCTTTGGATCTATTAGACACTATATCAAATCTACGATATTAACTTCTAAAACTAACGTTTGGTAATTAAACAATTAATTGCAAAAAAACGAAATTCATTAACAAATAGCTGGAGTAACAATTTCACGGTCAATCAAATCAGTTTTTGGCATACATGTTGGTCTTTGAATTGACCGTCACTTATTTGCAATTTGTCAACTTGGCGTCGCTTCTTTCGAGTTACTTTTTTGATATTATCATTCTACATACCCTTCCCCCTCATAAAGCGCAATAAAATGTCTACTAATACTTTTTTCACGTTCAAACTCTAATTCGTCTGGGGTAATATATTTTTACCGAAACTTACCTAGGTAGGACTACTTTAGTTCCTTGTGGAATGGTAGAATTTGTTAGAGTATTGTTTACCAAGACCACAATGTCGTTTTCATTGGCAAATTTTAAAAATGGCGATACATTCGCAGCGAAGGGCAGATGTCCGATTTCGTGAGACATGGCCAACTTGCCATTTAGGTACTATGAAACAAAAAATATCCCACAATAACTGTATTAGATGAAAATTAAGTTTTTTGATGATAATAATAATCCTTTGAAGTTTTGTATGTGAAAATGTACCCACCACTTCAGCAGCATAGCACACAGATCCAAACCTCAACCAAACCGTTTTCTGGGCCCACGATTTCGGTACGATGAAACTTCTTTGATACTTGACTACCCCCACGTGGTCCCTGACGGTGTCGTCGATCGAAATATCGTTGTAACTTGACGGCACTGGCATTAATTCCAAATCTTCATCATCGTTGTACTAAAAAATGTAAAATATATCTCTTTACCCACTAACTAAATTCTCGTAAAATTTTACCTCTGAGCAGTCCGATGTTTGAGTCCGATGTTTTACACCTACGCTGTTGTTACATAGGGAGAATTTCCATAGGCCGTCTAGAGATTGCACCTCTCTCGTGATAGAGCTTCTAGGGTATAACACGCCGGTATCACCTTGAGTGATAGTCGCAACTAGTAAAAGAAACGTTAATAACAATTCTCGCATGGCTCAGAGGTGTTGTTACTGCATCGGTTTCTATTCAACTGAGAATAAATACGCCCTAGCCCTTCCAGCGGATGTCATAAATAAATATTAATTTTATAATTTATGTTTATTTATGACGATAAAACTGTTTTCCAATCCGTATAGATGTCAAGAGATATTTGCGTATAGGTCTTGTTGTGCTTAATTTTTGTTTACAACTTGGGATATTTTATCACTTAGATAAGGTTCAAAAAGGTGTGCTGTGTGTTGAATAAATAAATATTTATCGCAAATGCAAATGGAACTGGAGAAAATCTGATGTTAGAATTCTATAGTTATCCAGAAATAATATTAACATATTTTTTTAAACTTTCATTTCTTTCATGTAGATGCAAGAAATTTGAGAGTACAAACACGCTATTATTTTTCTTCTTTTCTCTAGAAATAAAGTCAAATTGTATGTTAAATCCGACATTTTAATTAATTAATTTTAGCTTGGATTGTTATCCTATAGTCTCTTTTATATAAAGTATTGAATTACTTGTTAGTTGTAGTTTTTAAATCATAATGCGCCTATCTTTTTGTTTTTTTGTTTGGTTTTACATCATTTTCTTTAAAGATATGTACAGGGTTAGTCACTATAATCTGACAACTTATTGTGAGTTAATTAAAAAAATTACAAAAAATTTTTTAATACAAAACTTAGCTTTTTTATGAATTTTTATAATACAGTATTAGAATAATGGAAATCACTAAATTAAAGAAAAACAAATTTTTAATCGAACACCCTATATATTAGTGCATACGTAGCTTCGTTAAATTTTTCTCTTTTCAAAAATATATAATATGTTGCTGTTTGATTCAGGACTTTTCGACATATTTCAGTTTAAAACTATTTTTGAAAAAACAGGAGGGAAATTTATATCTGACGGATCGCAGTGGCTATGGACGAGGCACGCGGAACAAACAAATGACATTGACAGAAGTTTATTCATCATAATTAATTTATTTCCTATAACAAACTATTTTAACAAAGAAATAATGTTTAGTGAGAACGAAAAATTTGGAGTTATCCGCTTATTTTATGATAATAAAAATCATTCTTAACTTTAACAAGTTTTAATTTTAACAGAATTTTGATACCTAATTTATAAAAACCAAGTAAAACACAAATGGCCACAGATGCTCAATGTGGCTGCCATTATTATTGATGCACTTCGTATAATCCTCATTAATTTTCAGAACTGCATTTAGTATGAAATGGAAATTAAATGCACTTAAATTTTATATACATTGATCAACTTTATGTCTTGGTTCATCTAAGTTTACACTAATTTCCTTATAAACCTCGTTTTTTTTAAGTAACCCCACAAAAAACTGACCAGGAGTGTAAGGGCTATTTGAAGGCCATTGAATATTTCCTCTATTATCAATCCACAAATCAAACCTAGGTATTATTTAAATAATTTCTTACTGCTCTGGTTCTATGCAGAGAGAGTCTTGGTGCCAAATTTTAAGGGGATCTTTCATATCTTTCACATTTATTTTTTAATTGGAACCTTCCCTAAAAGGTTACAGTCCATTAAATGGGAATTGTGTAAAGTGGTTTTTTATTTTTTTCTGAAAAACTGTTGAATATAAACAAACGAAATTTAGAATAATTATAGTACTTATAAAATAAACCGCCTTTTCCATGCTTTTTTTACAAACATTTTTATTTTTTCAGATGATTTTTTCAAGCAAAATAATATTTTAAGATGCCTTCGTTTATTCAGAAACTTCTTTGCCTTTTAGAAAAATTTTATATTGTTAGTTTTTAGAAAAAAATATATATTTTTTTGAAGATGTATACATTTTAGTTTCTTGAAAAGAATGAATGCATGCTTCTTCAAAACGAAGGTTATTTTAAATAACTTTTGTAAAGTTCATATCATTTCTACTAAAATTATTTTAAATTATACATTATTTACTTCTTTTTTAAGTTTAATAAACCAGTATACACCCTCCCTATTTAATGGACTGTCACTTTTTAGGAGAGGCTCCAATTAAAAAAAAAATTGTATGAAAGACTCACCTTAAAGTTTTCCAAGGAATGCACTCCTTAATTTTTTGAACACACTTACGCAACACCCTGTATATAATTTTGTTCTATTAATATTTATTAATTCCATTTATATTCAAAAACACAATCCTAAATAAGTTGTTTAAATATGTATACATATATCTATAATTTTTTTTTTTTCAAAAATCAAGCTTTTAGTAACGTCATTTTATTTTCGTATTCTTCTCAGCAAACCCTTTCATATGATACCCATATCACGGGGATGCATACAAAATAACTGGTCCGCCATCTTTGGGAGTTCGCTATATGGGATTTAGAATGACGTGACTTAGCTAACCATGCATTGTCATCCAAACTAAACGTGTATGCCAAATTTCATCTCAATCGGTTGGAAGGTAATTGTTTTAAAATTCAATTGAAAAATTTGACCCATACTAACAAGGCAAGTTAAATAAAGGCTTGTGATAAAATGTAGAAATCTTTGTATCGTGGCTACTTTTAAGTGTTGATCTTTGTCAAAGGTGATGTTAGAACATAGAACAGCAAGAATACAAGATATTTCTTTGAAAGCTGAATAATCTCAGTCAGGTAATTTTAAATTACCAGCTATTTATTGGATATTGCTGGTATTATTAATTCAACGCTAGATGGCATATAGTCCATAGAGTAGTTGTTTCTCTCACTATCATTTCTCTCACTATCATCAAATAGGACTATTGTCTATGAGGTTACATATCTTTTGCATATATAGATTTTTGAGACAGAACAATTTGGACTTCATTTGATAGGATATTTAGAAAAAAAATTATTATTTTGTAACATACATGTTTGGTTATACGAAAAATGCCCTCATGCCAAATATCTTAAGAAGAGACAAGGAAAAACTTCTTTGAAAGTTTGTAATTTCTTAAGGAGGCATAGCGATACGAAATGTCATAACAGATGTTCTGATGAGATACTGCGCAGTCGCTACGCGTTTTCTCGCTAAGAGATTAATTTCATAACCTACTATTGATTACTTTGTAACCCAAATAAATAAATAAAGAGCTTACGGCAAATTTGGCGCTCAACGTTGGGCGCCGGTGAATCTTCGTAGACTGACTCTATTCCCTCTACTGCGGTGCCGTCATTAACGACTGCGCAAATTCTCATCAGGACATGTGTTATAATATTTAGTAAAATAGTTTGATGAAAAAAAATTCGGTTATTTTTTTACTTAATCGTGACTCACTTTAGTTTTATTTCATGCATAATTTATAAATTTTTCGAGAAAGGCTAAGATTCTGATAGTATAACATTTTGCCTTTTTATTTTATCTTTAGCGAAGTCTACATCTGTTTTAATGAAACGGCACTGAAGAAAAATGATAGAGAAGAATTTTGTAGTAGCATTGTTAAAAATAAGTGAGAAAGAACGAAACTGCTTTTTTAATTTTTGGTTTTTCTTAAATAAAATCCATCAGTACTTTAATGTTTTATTAATTTAGTCTTTTATTAACATATCCTATTTTTTTAAAATTTTATTTTATGTATAATTGAAATACTACTAATATTTTTCTAAGATTATGGATTAAATACAAAAAATTGTGTTGTTCAAAAAAGTACAAGGGCTATCCAATAAAATAAAACACATTTAAAAAATAATTTATTCAAATTACTGTCTAAAACTTATGTTAACCCTTACAAATATAACTACAGAAAATCTACTTGTAAATAATATTTACAATTAATTATATGTATATTATCACAGTTCCACTCGAACAGATTGCGGCTTAGACACAACGTAATGGTTGAGATCTTCAGGAGGCGTGGCATTGTAATATTCCTGAGCCAAACCCCAGTATCGCTTCCTCAGGTGGTGAGCGCTGGCCTTCGGCTGTCTGCTCCTCGTGAAGATGCCCTTCTTGTTGCCCCCCACCCTTGTATAGGCTGAAAAATAAGAAATTTGTCAACGTACATGAATCTTAAATGGTTTGGGGTCTAATATTGATCCCTGTGGTGCCCCTTAAGTTTGGTGATGGGAATAAACTGATTACGTCCTTTAGATTTGGTTTTAAAATAAAAATACTAGTTAACTGATGATTTGGAAGTATTTAGAGAAAGTTATGATGGTGTTAAACTTACTTTGAGCTGTTTTGAAGTCAGCGAAATTCCAAATAAACTCTCCTATAAAGAATCCCGAGGCTCTTAAGCGATCAAACGCTTCAAAGTGTTTGGATAGCAGAGTGACCTGATACTCTTCAGACCAGATATATTGAGGAATCTGAAAAATCAATTATGGAACGATAAGTAAAAAGGGAAAGAAGGTTTCATTTTAGACTGTGTCTTACAAAATGAAGACCTTCTAGAGTGTCGCCGCCATATTCTTGCATGATGACGGGCTTGTTGAACTTCTGGTGCCAAGCTGTGGCCTCTCTGATGACATAGTCGGTTACGATGTCCAGGTTGCCTTCATTGCTGTACCAGCCGTTGTAGCGGTTGAAGCTGATGATGTCCACGAAACGGGACTAACAAAAATATGGCGGATTAAGTGCAAACACTTTTAATTCAAGATTCAAACCAAATTTAAGAACATTTTGTGTTAAAAAATTTTCAAGGTGTCTCGTTTGTACTTCAAAAGCACTTGGATACAGATATATAGCATATGGGTACTATACATACAGAAATATAGATACGCCTGAATAACTCCTGAAAATAGGGAGACATTATAAAAACGATCTCTAGATATGTTGTTGAGGTCATCGGAAGCTATCACTTTGACCTTGAATTTGATCTTGAAAGTTACTTTCAAGGTCATTTGAGGGACAACTACTGTTTTCAGACGGGACTCCTGTTTTTTCACTTTTAATTCTGAAAGAGCGGAGAATTTCTGCCCGGACATGGTTTCTAATTTCAGTTCAGAATGATTTTACTTAGGAGACTATTTAGAGGTCAAAAGTCTTCTTAATTAAAGGTATTTGGTATGATACCAGCATGAAAGCTTCAGGAGAGATATGTGACCTTTAGATGGCCTCTAGAGGTCACTCTAACATACGGATCAAACCGTATCCAACATTTTCCACTCTTTCAGAATCTGGAGACAAAAATGGGAGCTCCTAATTGAAAAATTCAAATTGCACTCTGAATGACCTTGAAAATGACCTTCAAGGATCACCAAGAGATGACCCCTTGAGACCTCAACTATTTTTATAAAGGTTATTTTCTTGACATCTCACTTTCCTGACGAGTTATTTAAAGCATATCCATTCTTTTGGAATATCCTGTATATGTGTACTTTTTACAATAAAAATACAAATACATTATATTTTTTAAAATATAAATTTTTGTCTATACCGGGTGCTTCACCTAAGGCAGATTCTTCTATAGCTCGGTTATTTTAAATTTATTAAAAAAATGTTTTTTTATATAAAAGTTTTCTGGAATTATATTGGGCATTTTTGTAAAATATTTCAGTTATACAGGGTGCTCCGTTTCTTAAGGACGATACATAATTTCGTTATTTTAAATGGAACACCCTGTGTATAAGTGCTTTTTCGAATTCCTCGCTTAATTTTGATTGACTTTGTTGACCATAGAACCTAGAACCCGCTTTTCCGAGATATTCGACGGTTGTTAAAAATCACGATTTCAGCTTTCTGAATAAATCTAAATAAAATAGTTAGGAACATGAGGTTTAGATAGTTCTTTTCAGCACAAATTTCTATATCTTTTACATTTTTGGAAAATAATTAACTTATTTAGGACCGTAAATATTAAGACGAATAACTTTTTTTTTTCAAATGAAATGACCCAAATTAATTGCTATCGTTGAAGGCCAAATGAAATGTCCTTTCGACTGATATAAGGTTTGCCGAATTTTTATCGAAAACTGTTTAATCTAAAATTCCAGAAAAAGTAGTTACCAACATCAAAGAAACAACAGACAACAATACAGAAAACTTTTATGTAAAACATTTTTTTATTAAATTTAAAATAACCGGGCTATAACAGGGAGAAATTATTTTCGATCGTCCCTCGTATATTTGTTTAGACGGCATTATTTTCTTTATTTTCTACGAAATTTTGTGGGTTTTTATTTAGGTCAATGAGAAACATTGACCTATGCGAACTTCTCTACCAAGTGGAATATTTTGAGATATGTTGAGTTTGTATCGAAATAAACAAACAAATAATATACCACTCGATCAGGTCGTCGCTGATATCCGCGTTCATTGAAGAAATTTGCACTTTATCTCTGTTTTTCTGAAAAACACCGTACATTTATGTACGAAAACATCGTACGACGTTATCAGTCAAGTGTAGCGATTTTGCTTATCGAGTACTAATACTGATACTTTTATTACGTTTACACTGATACGGCATTATGCTAAATAACTTACCGATTCGACTACGTTCACATTTTGTGCTTCCGCGATTGTAGTAGGCCGTGAAATGTCAAGACTTTTAATATGGTCGATGACGTTCCTAAAAAACAAAAAAAAATTGACCTAGATACATCGGATTGAAACAATTTGTGGGTTTCGAGCAAAATAAACAAAGGAACAGATGACAAAAAAGAAAAATAGCATGGGCGAAATACAGAAAAAGGAAAAATGTATCTATTATATATTCTAATCTATTATAATTATTAATATTGTTTGAAAGAAAGACGATGAAGTACATATAATTTGTATATTTATGAAAATAAATATCATGAGTTCGTAGGTGTTTCTGGTAAATTATTTATTTTAAGTCATACCTTCATTACAGACTATAATTTGTTCAATATGCATCATGTGGGGTTCCTCGGGGTTCAATTTTAGGTCCATTATTATCTAATTTTTATGGTAATGAGATTCTTCTTGCCTTGACGTTAAGGAATGACTATACAGCGTGGTAAAAAAGTTCTGCATAAAATTCATATTTTCGTTAAACAATTTTTTTTCGAAAAACGGTGAGACCCGTCGATTTTTATTTGATCCAGGGCACCTTGTTATGTGGAAAATTTTTTTTTTCGATAATCCACTTACGGCAGCGATGACATATCTTTTTTTTCAAATGACAACGCATATTTTTTTCGTACGAAATTGATGACAGTGATAATTATCTAAACAACGGTGTGAAAATTTCGATGTCTTATATAACAATTTTTTTTAGAAAAATGCACCTTAAGTTCTTGAATGCAATAATTTGCTGTTTACGGATCAAATGCCTTAGAAAAAAATTTATTCGGCAGAAAGCATTTCAGATAACTTAAGTTGCAACTGGTGTTATGTAATATTTGCGGAATTATTCATCAGATATTGTCAGGATCCTGATTAAACTGCAAAATTTAGAACCAAGTTCAACCGCACAAAATCCAAATAGTATGTAGCAAATTAAGGTCGACTTTTTGTCTTCGAGTTTGCCGATAAATTCCTCAAAAAAAAAAAATCCAAAGAAATGTTTACTTGAAAGGAGTAGATTACCTGAAATATTGAAGACTAAAAATCAGTACCGATTTAACATTCTTTGGTGAAATCGTTTAATTCGAAATGGCAAAACTTAGTGAACGCGAAAGAATTGATATTTTGAGGATGATTGGTTTCGGCGATAAGTTACGAACCCATCAAGAAGCTTGCCAATTATTTAATGCAACGTACCCTGACAGACCACCAATTACGCAATCTACGGTTAGTAGGGTACTGGCAAGGTTTGAGGAAACTGGTAGTGTGAAAGATGCTCCTCGTGCGGGTCGTCCTAGAGTAGATGATGAAACTAGATTGAATATCCTGGTGGAGCTCCAGGACAACCCTCATTCTAGTACAAGGTCGATTGCATTGAACAATGATATTTCACATGTAACTGTGGTGAACTTTCTCAAAAAAGAGAAATTTCACCCCTATAAGGGTCACTTGATACATGCATTGACTGAGGACGACCCAGACCGCCGTCTCCACTTTTGTGAAGATTTAATGCATCGATGTAACGGAGACCCCGACTTCCTCAAGAACATAATTTTTTCTGACGAGGCTACTTTTTATCTTAATGGATCGGTGCATCGACATAACTGCCGGTATTGGTCTCAGGAAAACCCGCACTGGGTGCAAGAAGTAGATCATCAGCACCCCCGAAAGGTGAACGTTTGGGCGGGAATAATAGGGCGTCGTATTTTAGGCCCGTATTTTTTCGAGGAAAATTTAACTGCTGCTCGCTATTTGGATTTCCTGCGGTTCGATTTGGTCCCAAGCTTAGCAGAGTTATTCCCGAACAACGAGGATCCTGATATTCCTGAGGAAAGAATTTGGTTTCAGCAGGATGGTGCACCGCCCCATTATGGAGTGCAAGTACGGGAGTACTTGAATAACACGTTTACTGGCCGGTGGATCGGGCGACGCGGAACAATCGAGTGGCCTCCGCGTTCGCCTGATTTAACACCTCTAGACTTTTTTTTGTGGGGCTATTTGAAATCGCGTGTGTACACAAACAGACCAGGTGATTTGGAAGAACTTAAAAACCGTATTCGTTTTGAAATAAATCAAATCGACCCGGGAATGCTTGAACGAAGTGTAGACGGCGTTTACACACGCTTAGGACAATGCCAAATGGTACAGGGTGGGCAATTCGAACAATTTCGCTAGACTTACACAAACATTAGTGTAATTTTACTCGTTTGAAATGTAATTTTGTCAACTTTGTCCTTTTCGGAGCCATTAATAGTGTAAGTAGACAATTATCACTTATAAGAACTTAAGGTGCATTTTTCTAAAAAAAATTGTTATGTAAGACATCGAAATTTTCACACCGTTGTTTAGATAATTATCACTGTCATCAATTTCGAACGAAAAAAATATGCGTTGTCATTTAAAAAAAAATTATGTCATCGCTGCCGTAAGTGGATTATCGAAAAAAAAATTTTTCCACATAACAAGGTGCCCTGGATCAAATAAAAATCGACGGGTCTCACCGTTTTTCGAAAAAAAAATTGTTTAACGAAAATATGAATTTTATGCAGAACTTTTTTACCACGCTGTATATTGAAGATTTAATTTTGTAAGACAATGATAGAACAAGTAGGAAGTGATGAAGCGTAAGCTAAACTAGAACAATTTCCTTTAATTTTTTGCATTGAATGATCACGTAGAACATGAAAATATCAGAAAATGTTCCTTTCTTGTTTTGTTCAGCTTTGTAAAGATACTCAATAATCGTGATTAATGCATGTGTTAATAGTTTCCTAAAAGTATTCTGCGGGGTGTGATTATGTTTGTAGTACCGTAAGCGATTTTCTGTATGTTCAATAGTCGTGAAAAATCCAGAAAACGTAAGATAAACATACGAGATAAAAAATACGCTTTTTCCTTATTTTGGATACCTATATTGTCAGTTGTCTTATACCCTGAAAAATTTGTATACAGTCCGTACAATATTTGTTGAGATGGAATTCCAAGAAAAGATTATGCCAAAAAAGTTCTGTTATCGGAATTACTGTAATAATATACCGTGGAGAAAAATTCCTTTCTTTTATTTTTCACCTCCATTCATTTTAATAAGAAATTACACTGAAAATGTACAGGAAGATACATTTACGAAGAAATACGTCTTCGTAGAGTGCACAGATATTGTTTCTAACTTGCTTAGATTTTTTAAAAAGCTGTACAAAAAAATTGCGCACATAAACGCCCCCCTTACGGGTCATATTTAAGCATTTGAAAAATAAAAACTACATCAGGATCCTAGTGCACGCTTGTGATTGTTTTCTTTATGTTCCTCTTTTTTGTTTCTTTTAACGTACTTATATTTTTATTTTTACTTTTTTCTTCATTATTATTATTATTATTGTGTCTTTACATAATATTTATTGTTTTTACTTCTATTTAACTAGTCTGTCCTGTAAATGATTTTTACTATTGGGCAGGTGTATATTAAAATGAAATAAGAGTCAAAGCGCCAGCTATCCTTTGCACCTCGCAAGAAATGTCAAAAAAAAAGGAAATACTAATTAATATACATATAGAGGGAGCGTGTGACGTTTTTTTATTTTACCTGAAATATTCCTTGGCAGCAGCATACTGAGTCCTAGGTTCATTGGCAGCGCTCCACATTATCACGCTCGGACGATTCTTATCCCTTTTTATTAGTTCCGTCAAGGACACCTTGTGTTTGGCCAGCAACGAATCAATAAAAAATCTGGAAGAAAAATAATATATATATTTTTTTCCATACTTAACAGCTTATTCCATTGGCTGAACAAGAGTCTGGTACTTGCTGCGTCATTGGTTTAGACTTCTTTAAGTTTCGAGAAATATGTCGCTCTTCACTTCTTCGAAAGATAATCACAGCCACACACAAAAAAAAAGTTGGGTATACTTTATATGCGACATATATTTTTCGTAGTAATTTGGCCTCCTGAACACGAATCTGGGGTCAGAATTGGCCCATCACGTCACATTTTTTTCCTAACCTCAAAAAACTTGTGAAAAATAGTGAAAATTGATGAAAATTTACTGGGAAAATTTGTAAAAAAATTTATTTCCACATCAAATAGTACATTTTTATGTAAAAGACTCTGCTGAATTCAAATCCACTGTCAGAATTGAGCTAGAACGTGTGGTTTTTTTTCTAACCTCAAAAAACCGAGCAGGAATCGCTATTTTCAAATTCTGAGCGGATTTTGACCAGATTTTGTATAAAGGGGTTTTTTGGGTCGCTGATTACGAATATGAATTCACATTGTAAAAATTCAAGATGGCTGATCCAATATGGCGGGTGTACTTTTTTGAAATCCACCGATTTCAGTAAAATTTGGCATCATAAGGATTGCTGGTTGATCTCACCTTCATTAATCACACATCTGGAGCCAGATTTTCATAAATCAAGGTAAAAGATTCCACTCCGTCTAAAAATGTGACTTCGCTTAAAAAAATGACTTAAGGACTCTACACATGTAATGATGTGTAGTGTGATGTGCTTGTTTCCATGGGACAAGACAAAAAAGTTTCTACTTTATTCTTTCATTTATTTAGTCGTGCATGGGCTTATGGTTTTCCAATCAGATTTTTTTAACTACTATGCAGTTTTCCTATGGCATTTAGATGCTTTTATTTCTTAATAATTTTAAAGTTCAAGGAAAAGGACACATTACTGCCACACAGCACATCACTGCATCTGCTTATGCCTTCAATCTAAAAATGTGACTTTGCCGAAAAAATGCCGCCTACTCGGCCTAAAATTATGACTCTGCCTACAAATTTTACCTTGATTTATGAAAATCTGGCTCCAGATGTGTGATTAATGAAGGTGAGATCAACCAGCAATCCTTATGATGCCAAATTTTACTGAAATCGGTGGATTTCAAAAAAGTACACCCGCCATATTGGATCAGCCATCTTGAATTTTTACAATGTGAATTCATATTCGTAATCAGCGACCCAAAAAACCCCTTTATACAAAATCTGGTCAAAATCCGCTCAGAATTTGAAAATAGCGATTCCTGCTCGGTTTTTTGAGGTTAGAAAAAAAACCACACGTTCTAGCTCAATTCTGACAGTGGATTTGAATTCAGCAGAGTCTTTTACATAAAAATGTACTATTTGATGTGGAAATAAATTTTTTTCCAAATTTTCCCAGTAAATTTTCATCAATTTTCACTATTTTTCACAAGTTTTTTGAGGTTAGGAAAAAATTGTGACGTGATGGGCCAATTCTGACCCCAGATTCGTGTTCAGGAGGCCAAATTACTACGAAAAATATAGGTCGCATAAAAAGTATACCCAACTTTTTTTTTGTGTGTGCACTAGTCCATTGTATACTTTATAGACTGTACACCGGCTGCTCTTATTTCCCTTGAAGTAGTATTAACACTGTTTTTTAAGAAGTGATCTATCTTGTCGGTACATGCTTGCCAGATATTCCTCCTTTTGATGACGCGTACTTGAAACACTGTTGCGTTAACGATGCCTTGTTTCTGATTGTGTGGATTAGCTTTTTGTAAACGTTATGCCTTAGGGTGATATCCAGTTTCCTCTTGACTGGAAGTGTACTTCATGGTTAAGTTGATGTCTGGATGCATTCCGTTAACCGGAGTTTTAATGAGAGAGACAATCTGCAAAGCTGTACACATCCAGAAGAACAAGACGAAGGCTGAGGAACGACTTATATGTAAAAATTAAGAAATAATGGATCAATGCTCACAGCAAACATAAATATTGGCCGGTGTACTTCACTTCAATTTCAAAATTCCTTCCTTCAGAAGGAAGCGGTAGAATATCTTTGAAAACTTACAGAGGTCTATGGCAAACATCTCGGAAATTGTTCAACTATTGACGACTGTTACGGAAGCTTACAAATTAAGCCAGGGATGCACAGACTTATAGGGAACAGGGGCCACTCGGGAAAAATATAAGCCAAGGACGGGCCACTACAAACAATATTTATTAACACAAAATTTTTTATTTTTAAATAGTATGAAATACAATGATAAAAATAAAATAACCTTCAAAAATGTTTGTTGTAATAATTATGTAATCATTACAATGTAATATTTCATGTTTTATTATTTTGATGCATGACATTGCATTGAACTAACAAGTTTTTTTATATTTGGCTCCACATTACTTGTAGCCACACGTATAATTGCTTCCAAATTTTCATTTGCCAGACGGTTTCGGTTTTTCGTTTTGTTAAGTTTCATCACTGAAAACGTTTGTTCACAAATATACGTCGATCCAAATAAGCTTGCGCATTTCAATGCATTTATTCGCAACTCTTTATAAGCGTTTTTATCAACGCAACGGTAGAAGTTGAGTAAATTACCTTCATTAAATTTGTTTCTTAAATTATCATCATTTTGCATGTCTATTAATTCCAGCTGCATTAATTCCGGCGCATTTTCGGGTGAAATGTTGAAAGGATTGCTGAAAATGTCCAATAGCGGTTTAACTTTTTTGAAGTCTACAAAACGATTTTCAAAAGCTTGTATCAAAATATCAATTTTTTCAACATGAGCGAAATTGACGTCAGTTTTATTGAACTTCTCCATAATTTTTTTGTAGTTCGGAAAATGGCCGTAATTGGCTGAATTGATTTGTGTCCTGAAAAGACTCAATTTGCATTGAAAGGACGAAACATGAGAGTATAGCTGCGAAATCAATTGATCTTTGCCTTGGAGTCGCGTATTTAAGACATTCAAGTGATTTGTGATGTCTACAAGAAACGCTAAGTCACACAGCCAATCAGGGTTGTCGAGTTCGGGGACGTCGTTTTTCTTTTCCGCCAGAAATAGTTGGATTTCTTCAATCAAGTTAAGAAATCGCTGTAGTGTCAACCCACGACTTAGCCACCTTACTTCAGTGTAAAACAGGAGATCACCATATTCGCTTTCAATATCCTCGAGAAATTGTTTGAATTGTCGGTGATTGAGACCTCGTGATTTTATAAAGTTTACGGTAGGTACTACAACTTTCATAACATTTTCAAATCCCAATAATTTTGAACAGAGGGCCTCTTGATGTATAATACAATGAAACTGCATTAATTCCTTGGTATTTATGTTTTTAGTTTGTAAATATGTTTTTAACAGAGTTACTATCCCAGATGTACTTCCAACCATTGAAGGTGCTCCGTCAGTTGTAATTCCAGATATTTTCGTTAAATCCAAATCCATTATAGAACATTTTTCTAGAAGAGCTTTGAGCATGTCACTTCCCCTGGTTTGACTTGTCAAAGAACTCATACCAATCAGTTCTTCACTCACTTCAAAATTTTGCGTTACACCTCGTAAAAATATTAATAGTTGAGCAGTTGAACTTATATCTGTAGATTCGTCGAGCGCTATAGAAAAATACTCAAAACTTCTCGATTTCGTAGCTAATTGCTCTTCTATATTATCTGCTAATGCGGTAATTCTTCTTTGAACAGTCATCCGATTTAACTGAATTTTTTCAAACTTCTTTACATTTTCCGGACAAATTTTTTTTGCGGCGATATCCAAACATTGCTTAACAAACTCACCATCTTTAAAAGGCCGACAAGTTTTCGCTATTATTCGAGATATTTCAAAGCTAACTTCAGTGGCTGTTTCAGCATCTTGAATTGGTTTTGTAAACATAGATTGCTGGCCTATTAGTTCCCGTTGTAAAGTGGAAATTCTTTGCGTTCGATTTTCGCCAGTTAATTTGGTAAAAGTTGGATGCTGGGTTTCATAGTGCCTTTTCACATTATATTCCTTCGGAATAGAAACACTACTCTTGCATATTAAACAGACAATTTTGTTATGCGATGAAATAAAAAAGTATTTTTCGGTCCAAATATCATGAAACTGTCGATTTTCATCTTCAACCTTACGACTACGTTTCTTACTGGGGCCTGGTTTATCCATATCAAAATTAATATTATATGTTACAGTCGGTAAAAGCCAAGTTCGAACGACGAAATATTTACTCGTCACAGATTACAGTTCTCAAACAGTATAACGTTCGCTTATCCGTAGTCAAAACTTAACTGCCCCAATAACCGGCGATGCGTCGTATTTATACGAGTTACCAAACATCGAGAACCATCCACTTTGTTCGGGGATCGACGTGTTTCGCGAATCTGTAATCTAGTTGCTGCGACAGATTTCTAGTCTCGTAATAATATGCTTGGACCGGAGCGCGGCGAGTAGAATACTTTTAAAATTCGTTGGCAGGCCGCATAAACACCGACAGCGGGCCGCAAGCGGCCCGCGGGCCGCGGTATGTGCATCCCTGAACTAAGCTAACCTGCTCCATTGTTGTAAATCTTACTCACTCTGTGTTAACGCTGGGGCACTCGTCTATAATCATGATTCCCATCTCGTCGGCAACGTCCATGATTTCTTCCGCATAAGGGTAATGCGAGGTCCTGTAGACGTTAGCGCCTATCCATTTGATAAGATTATGGTCCCTCACCACCAAGGGTAGGTCGAGTCCCTTACCCCTGATGTCGGCGTCTTCGTGCCTGCCGAACCCGTGGAGGTACACGGGGTAGTTGTTTATTAGGAGGGAGGTGTTGGTCCACGTTACCGTGCGAATGCCGAAGGGCAAACTGTACTTGTCCACCAGGTCGCCATATTCGTCCAACAGTTCCACCTAGTACAAAAAATTTAAGAGATATGTGTAGAAATAGCAGTGGGAGGAAATTCAAGTGGATTCAGATCAGGTAAATTTAGCGGTTGCTCACCTGGAAGGTGTAGAGGTAGCCTGGTTCTTGATGCATGAGATACGGCCACCACAAACTTGGATTGTCCACCCTGAGTATGCCGTAGACATCAGAGTAGTCTCCGCTAGTGGCCACGACGTTTCGATTTTTGTCGATTAGACTCACCCTGCAGGTGATGTTTGCGTCTCCCACGATGCTAATGTTGTATTCCAAGAATGCTGAGAAAAATAATTGTCATTATTACTATTCTTGGTTCTAAAATGATATAAAGTATTTCTGAAATAACTACGTTCCCTAAAAGGGTGATAGAGGGCATAAAAATGAGTAACTTTTATTAATCAACTGATGGTCTAAATGCTTCTGTTTTCGAGAAAATTAATTAAGAAAATTAAGCATAAATGTGAGTCGACCTTGTGCATCTTGTGCACGTGAACCAGAATGCTTCGAACTCGGGAAAGGTCGCAACATGTTTTCGACAACGAAGAAAACATTATAATTTTTTTTCAATTTAAAAGGTAATGTTTTAGGTTTAGGTCATCAGTTGCTTACTTCTTATTCTTTTCGCTTATAAAATTTTTACCGCCTATGAACTTTCACTGCTCAGATAATACGCTTTTAACATATTCTCGATTTCCCTATTCTTATAAAACGTCAGATTTTACTTGAATACTCCATAATTGATATTCGATCTAATTAAGTTCAAATGATATGGCGGCAGCCGATTGTCAGTTGTCAAAAGTTAATTTTCTTAGCATGTGATTTTTCAGTTGCAGCATTTGCATGTCTTCAGAAGATTAAAGTAATGCATTGAGATAATAATTTCCATAAATATTAAGAAAGTCTGTGTTCCATTTAATTGATTCCATACCATTTCAAAGCAGACTTCATAGTGTCTTTTAGGCATACCATTCAACGAACTTACCTGTCGAGGGCTGTAAATCGATGGTTAATACTGATATATCGTCTATGTAAGTCTTTGGAGTGGTGTAAAGTTTCACTGGCCTGTCTATGCCTGCATAGTTGAAGAAATCGAAGGTGTAGCTTTGGAAGAGTCTACCACTGGAATTAAAGAAGAAAAATGATATTAACTTTTGATATTATCGTAAATAATCCAGCCAAATCTTTGAAATGCAGGAATAAGCTAACTATATTTTCGATCTCTGTTGAAAATGATGTTACAGTACCTTTCTAATTCTTCAACCCGTCCCTGCGGAACGGTATCAGCCAGTAAGGTATTGTCGCAAGCCACTGTCACCCTGTTTTCTTTACCGAACTTCAGGTACTGGGTTATCTCGCTGTGAAAGGGTAAGTGTCCCATTTCGTGACTCATAGCCAACTGTCCGTTTACCCACTGAAAATTAAGAACTGGACACTTTTTGTTATTTCTAAAAATCGCCTACTTACCACCTGGGATGCGTACGACACTGAACCAAACCTTAACCATATCCTGCCTATTTCAGACCAGTACTTCGGCACGAAAAAGGTCCTGTCATACCACACTAAACCCACGTGGTCTCTTATCCTCCAGTCTGTAGTTATGTCATTGTAACTAGATGGCACTGGCATCATTAGGACCTTCGACTTGGCGGCCTGCTAGAAAATCAAACAAGTTTTTGAAGGTGTGCAGCAAGGGTCCGTTTTAAGACCACTTCGTCGTGGAAACAGGAGTGAAGTTTGTAGGGAAAAGATACGTACCTCCCTCAGGTCCTTCTTGTACCAATGGAAGTCGAATCCTACGAAAGGATTGCTTGTATTTGGGACAACGAAGTTCCAAATCCCGTCCAGAGAAACTACTTGCCGGGTTTCTGATTCCCTGGGGAAGAGTATACCTCCTCTGTGAATGTCAGCTGCGCATAGTTGGGTGAATACTATGAGGTATGCTGCTGTTTGTAAAACCATTTTTAAATTTGTAATGATTGACTGAAACAAGTTTTTAAATATTACTTTTGTGCACCTACTGTTTAAAAAATATATTAAATATTTGTCAGTTCGTGTTACGAATTTAAAGTGCATTCGTCTAAATAGATAAACATTAACAAACCAATCGTTTATTTTAGTACTACATTTAACAAAACACCAAAAGTATTCACGATTCACGAACATTTAATGTCAACAATCAATACCAATTAATTTAACAAAGTAATATGCTCATACAAACATGTCATAAATTTTGCCTTAATTTAATTTGACATAATTTGTTGATAAAAGCTTGAATTAAAATTAAGTAGTATCATGAATATTTGAATTCTTAATCAAATTATGACATATTGGAATATATAGCGGAATATTTTTCTAATTGTAAGAATATGAAAACAAACCACCCAATAAATTACGTGATAAAATGGTATTTACTAGAAATAATGAAAACAAAATGTAATGCAAATTACGAAATAGTTTTGTAATTCCCATATTAACATAAAATGTAATATAGGATAGCTCATTTGAAACCTTGACACTAACTGATTAGAATTATTAAAGAAATGCGATCATTTCATTTGTTTTTAGTAGAAAATTTCTTTATCTGCTCCCACTATAGTAAATAGACTATTAATACATTGTTTTTAAAGACGTAAGTGGATTTTACCGTAGAAGTGGAAGTTGCTATCGACAATGGGAGGTAAGTGAGGTAATTTCCCCCCTAGGGAAAAAAACAATTTCGAGTTTATAAGTGCATATTTTATTAACAAATAAATAGAAATATTTGATGAACATTAATTTTATTAATTATTATGAATGAATATTTATAGTAATTGTACAGTTATTACATTTAGTAACATTTCTAAAATCTGGATAATTATTCCCCTCGCGTTTACTAATTGTCACATTTTTCTCAATATTATCTGACTGATCCATTAAAACACCATGATGCGACGTACTACTAGAACCTGGAGTTGAAGTGTCATTGTAACAAATCCAGTTGGCTATTTCATTTTTGTTACTTAAACTATCAGCAACATAACTTTCTGCAAATGTGGCTGATTTCCACACACCATGTCCCTGGATTGTTAATACATCAACTCCTGTATTAGCCAATAACGTTGCCGATGTTCTTCGGAATAAATAGCCTGTATATGTTTCAGGATGTCCTAGTTTCAAATACTGTGCAATCTTATTAAAAATTATAGAAAGGGTATGCTTACCGACTGGTTGGTTGTAACATCTACCTGCTTAATAGCACATAAAAAAGCGTGAAATTTCAGTTTTAATTTCCAATCTAATGTCAAATCAGACAGAGACATGAAGTTTTCAATAGAAATTTCCTTTTCTTTGGGTCGTAGTCGTATATTTTATGACGATACTACTTTTCTGATATTTCTTTGAAGTAAAAAGTACAATCCTTAATGCAATAAACACTTTTCTCGGTGCAGATTAGACGTATATATTAACCTCATCTATTATTGTAGTTGTTTTCGACTTGCAATGCCAGTTCATAGTGGTATTATAATTATCATAATACCACCATACATAATAATATACGTAGAAGTTATCTGTTTTCCCATAGGTGTAAAAATGGGCCCGTCCCGGATAAATATTCTGACATTAACACATGCGGTCTACAAATCCTTTCAGGGAATTCTAGTCTCGCGTGTAAAGATGGGCTGGTCGCGTTTACTTTCTCTTTTAAAAGGACGGTATTAGTGTGAACAGATCGTTCTGTTAGCCGCAAAAAGTTATATAATTGCCTTTAAGTATAGGGTAGGTTTTTATTGTGGATCAAGGAAGTGTTTTACTCATAATAAGTCAAGGAAATTATTAAAAACAAATATATTTGTTTAACATATATTATTGTAAAGACTGACAATTTTGGTCCACCTGTGTATTTTGTTTTTAATTTTTTCACGTTTTGGAAACAAATGGAAACCATACCTGGCCAATTAAAACAGCTATTAGATAAAATACGTTGAACTGTAATCGAATACTAGTTCCAAACCAGATTTGCGGACATTTAACTTTTAATGTAAAGTATAGTGACTGTAAATTATCTCAGGATTTTACGGTGTTTTCCAACTTGTTTAATTAGTATTCAAAATTGTAAACAGTCAGTTTTTACAGTAATAAATAATCATTATAATCAGATGTAATTATTAAAGGACAGGACAGTATTTGAACATAATGAAATATTTATTTCTCATTTAGAAGAAAATACGCGTTTTTGCACCGTTTTTGCATTATTTGCTTACAGTAATTCTATACTGGAAACTCTAATTGAGGAATTAAATTATACAAAACAGTAAACAAATAGCTAAAACGTGACATCCGCGATAGAATATTCAGTAATTTATTAATATTATACTCATTATATTACGAAATGGTGTATTATCCGCAAATTGCTGATGTGGGGATAATTTATTGTATAAATTTTCACATACCTGCACTTTTACATATGAACTTTGATTGCAGTTTAATAAAAAACATGAAGGTAAGATTTATGGAAAAACATAGTTGTCAAAGTTGTGATATAACTTTAGTAGACAAGATCCACAAATCAGTATATATACAAGATCTTCTACATAACCTCAATTCTGTGCTTAATGAAATTGTCAACTGTCATTTTTGTCGAAAAAGAGCTATGGGTACCTATTTATTTTGGTATTCCGATTTTGTTGAATGAAAAACAAAATGTTAGTTAAATAATGTGATTGCACAGGGTGTTAATTACCTACGTCGACACACTATCAGGGACAAATTATTTGAGTGATTTTAAGACAACAAATAGTTATATAAGCATGAGACAAGTTCAAGGTACAGTGTCGAAATAAGAATCATCTTTTGTACAATTTCTCTGAAGAAGATTGGTGCAGAATGGTGAAACTTAGGCTAACTATTTATGTAATTAAATCCGTACGATATTTGTTGAGAAAAATTCCAAGAAGACCCCTGCGCCACTTTCTTGGAATTAACCCCATTTGCAGTTACGAAGTCGTATTTCTTCGAAAGTGTACCGTCCTGTAAATTCAGTGTAATAAATCAATGGAGGTGAAAAATAAAACAAGGGAATTTAGTCCCAGTCGAAGATTTATCAGATTAGAGACTGTAGTAGGTTACTTAAGTAAATGTTTCTTTGTTTACTCATTTTTTTTTTTTTGTTCCTCCATGCTTATAATTGTATTATCTTAGCTGTAAAGAAATAAAAACATATTTTATGCCCGTTTGCGCCGACATTATCCTAAGAACAACTTAATAAAATTGTTCTTAAAATTAAGTTATACTTATTTTTTTAGAGCATTGCACCGACGGATCATAAACTATACTTAGCAAAGTACGTCTATGTATTTGCAACAACGCAGAAATCTAGTAACTTTCATTACTTTAGGTATTTTAGTTCTTTCTGATTTTCTTCAATTAGGTTAGGTTAGATTTCGGTGTTCGGTTTGTCGTGTCATGTCTATGGTGTTTGTTGTAAATGTAATATACAATAATATATGTTGACCAAAAGACTAGTTATCAGAGATAAAATAAAAATAATAATTTCCTCAAGATTCTAGTACTTCTTTTATTCTAGTACTTCCTCTATCAATGGTAAAATTCGCAGAAAAGTCTATGTTGTAAGACGAAATATTTTATAAAAATTCAATTCGTCCATTGTATGGAAATAGTCAGATCTTGTATAATTTAATCTGGGAAAACCAAAATCTATAATTTCCAATACATCTAAATCATCTTCAAACATGTCATTCAATCGAATATCCACAATGCTTTTTTTACAACTACTTACTTTAATACCACACACGTTAACACTGACCATTTTATTTGCACTTTCCGCGTTTTTTTTCTTTGAAATTTTGGTGTTTTGCGCACGCTCCAAGTCTGTTTAAATAAGGAAGAAGAAGAAGAAGTCGCTGTCAAAGTGAGGCTTAAATTTAAGAACCTGTTTCCATACTTAAGAAGATCTTAACGTATGGTGCAATACAAAAAGCTTACTTAAGCATTTCTTATTTTTAAGTAATGCTTATTAACTTCGGTGCAAACGGGCATTAATCCAAAAAATCTGCTTTATACCGGGTGTCCCACTAAGGTCGGCGATATTAAAGAAATAATAGACCTTAGAGTTTCGGGAAAAAAAAATTGATTAATAAATCGACCAAGAGAAATCGCTGGAAATAGTTTTCAAGTTCGTAGCTCGGCCGCTAGGGGGCGCAATCTACATACTAAAACGAAGTTGATTTTTTCCTATTCAAGTGTATTAAATAGTACAAATATGGAAAGCCGGATTCATTACGCATAACTTTTGTTAATGAATTTTTGTTCTATCTCTCGACCTAATGTCTGATCAAAAAGATGCATTTTTTAAGGATTGGCTCATCAAAAGCCCATAGTGTTATACCTCGTTGGAAACGTCTTTTCATGCTTTATCTAGTGGTGGATATGTAATGTCATTTACCTCAATATGGAAACCTATATAAGGCGTTACTTCAAAAGAATGACGTTTTATGGATTTTTCCCAAAAATTTTAAATGCAATACTATAGTTTTCTTTACATAAATAAATTCAGCACAAAAAAATTATGAATATAGTATAAGTTTGAAATTTCTAACGAAAGTGTTGTTTATTTATTGGCGTTATTTATTCAAGTTTAAGTTGTTTCACGTTTTCTTTAAAAAGTGAAATAGCAGGATACAACTTTTATAGGTTAGTTTGAAGAGCATAAAAATAGCTACATTTTCACACCAAAAAGGGCTCGATATCTTTTTTTGTTATCAAGTTATTCGCAAATTAGTGAGCAAAGCATAAATAATGATAATGAATTGAGGAACACGATATTTAATTACCAAAACAAAATGCGTTTATAAAAGAACCTACCTAAGCACGCAACGAAGGTTAAATTCCTGTATTGAAAATAATGGTATCGATTTCGAGCATTTATAAACATCTTTACTTTTGTTGAAATTTAATTGTTCTTTCGTTACATACCTAATATC